CCTGCACTAAAACATATCCCCGTAAAAGTTATATAACAAACGTATCTCTATGAAATACATATTAAAACAGACAAAATGGAGATTAATCAAAGGGCATGCATTAAAATTCATGCCTATGTTTAAAGACTGTCTGGGTAGGCCTGCCAGAAGAGACAGGTCTTCACTTGTGTCTTAAATTCTGACAGTTGATTTACCTGTTGGAACTCTATTGTCAGGTTGTTCCACATCTTTGGGGTGGCTGATGAAAAGGTCCTCTGGGTGTTGTTTCCCAGTCAGGTTCTGGCTCATTGGAGCAGACCAGAAGACCAAAGTGTGTGGGGCGGATTGTTTGGGAGAAGGCAATCCTTTAGACCACCTGGACCAAAACCATGTAGGGCTTTAAAGGTCAAAACCAACACATTGTCCTTTGCCTGAAAACTAATTGACAGCCAGCGGAGTGACTTTAGGATAGGTATCCCTCCTAGATGTTCCTGTAACCAATCTGGCTGTTGTATTTTGAACCAACAGGGGTTTTCGAACTTGGTACAAGGGTAGCCCAATGTAAAGTGCATTGTAGAAGTCCAGCCTTGAGGTTACCAGTGCATAACTGGTTACATAGTTTTGATGTTTGCATGATGCATGTTTTACTTTTTAGTTGGTCCAGTAAAAGCATTGCTACTTAATAGAATTCGAGGTTTGATGAAATATGGGTTAGCCTTGGGCCTTATCTTTTGAATTACCTTTCTTTGTTTCTCATTGCAATCATAATATCATGCTCCAGCAAAAATTATCATCAGAACTGTTATCAGTTGAGGATCTGCTGGTAGGAAATGAACTTCCTTGTGACTTGCGCAGTTTTATGACTGTTGGAATATGAGTGTGATGTGTTTAGAGGATAAATCAGATTATTAACTTAAGGCAGCACCTAGTGCGCTTTTTAACCCCCCACACTCTTTCTGTTGTTAAAATATATGCATCTGTAGAAATGAACGGGGAAAAACAATCTAATGTCTCATTCAGGAAGGACTAAAATTAAACTAGTAGTAAAGCAAAATCTCCACACTGTTCTACTTGTGTTTACTGAGACTGTATGTACTTAGTAAATGTTTTAACAGTTACCACCCTGATAACAGTGTGCTGAGTTGTACCAATATATGATATCAAAGAGGAAAGCCTGAAGTTAAAGGAAGCACAGGTGGCTTAGCTAAATAAAATTTAGTACTCGTACCTAATTATTAATTATTATTATTAAACTTTATTTATATCCCGCTACCTTCTTCCCTCAGGGACTTGGGGCGGCTAACATGAGGCCAAACCCGACAAATACAATAAACAAAATAAAATACGTACAACAATTAATAACTAAAATAAAATACAAACCATGAAGAAAAATTATACAGTGGGGTAAAACACCAGATATGGGGTAAGAGGACAAGTTAAAAACAACGAGTTGATCAAAGTAGGCAGGCCAAATGCAAGGATAAAAATGGGGGATTGGTTGAGATAGGAAAATGGAGTGGTTTATCTGGTGGGAGATATGGATGGGATAAGCTATGGGGTTTAATTTTCACGTTAGCAGATGAGGTAAAGTGCATTGAGAGGACAAGTTTATGCTGGGACGGTCATGGTATGGGGATTTGTTGTTCATACCTAAGAATGTGAAGTGTCTCTGTGATGATAGAGAGCTGGTTTCCACAACTGAAAATATGCTTGAAAAAATTGGACCTGCTTCATAGAAGAATCTTAAACACCTGTTTAGCTTTAACCATTGACTTACCCTGGGTGTAAAATTTGTGTCCTGGAGACTAGAATGTTAATTTTGGGTTATGGCATTTACATGCTGAAGGTATTAATAAACTGCTTCTCAGGAACTGTACATCTACAGATGGAAAGTCATAATTAAAATGGAAAGAGAATGTAAAATATTATGCCTCCTCTATCTTGGAGACAAAAGGCATAGTTGATTGTTAGGAATTCCTCACTTTGGATCTAAGACAGTAATCCTTTGCATAGGTATCTCGGAATAAGTCCCTCTGAATTCAGTGGGATCGATTTCTGTATAGGCTTGTGTAGAGTTGTGCTGCATATGAGATGGAAGTCTTCTAAAGTAGTGACTTTCAAAGTTGAATGACTTCATCATACTTAATACATCATTTGCTGTTAATTTTGAACGGTACAGTTTAGTGTAATGCTGGTCTTATTGTAGTTCAAAGTCCATCTTTTTCAGTCATTTCTTCCATGAACAAGAAAAATGTTACTTGATAGCAAGGTGATGCCATTTTTTCTCATTAAGGGATAAGTAAATTTACCAAAGAAGGATTTATCTTTGTTTAGATTTTGTATAATAGTCTCACTTCTCAATTTTAATCCCTACCATGGAAGTTAACTCTAGTACAGTTGGCACTCCATATCCACAAATTCTGAATCAATGGAGTCAACCGTGCATGGCTTGAAAAATATAAATTTAAATCCAAAAAGCAAATCATAATTTTGCCATTTTATATAAAGGATGCCATTTTACTATACCATTGTAGGTAATAATACTTGGGTATCAATGGATTTTGATTTCCAAGGAAACTTTTGGAACCAAAACCTTAGTAGATACGCACAATTAAAACGTGTGTGCCAGTTGCACCCATATCGTGGGAAGTCAGACTTGGCCACACTGGTCCACGCTCTTGTTACATCAAGAATAAACTACTACAACGCACTCTGCGTAGGGTTGCCTTTGAAAACTGTTCAGAAGCTTCAAGTGGTCCAATGTGCAGTAGCCAGAATGCTCACTGGAGCAGCGTACAAGGAGCATACAATCCCCCTGTTACGCCAGCTCCACTGGCTGCCAGTTTGCTACCATTCACAATTCAAAGTACTTGCTTTAGCCTGTAAAGCACTAAATGGTTCTAGCCCAGTTTACCTGTCTGAACGTATCTCCCCCTATGAGCCAGCTAGGAGGTTAAGATTGTCTAAGGAGGCCCTGCTCTCGGTCCCACCTCCTTTGCAAGTGCAGTTGGTACAGACCAAGCTTTCGGTCAGTAATAGTTCAGTAAGAGAATACAGAATGGTACAATGACAATTGGAATGGAATGGACTTGATTTATGACATTGGATTTGCATGACTTTAAATAAGTGGTTTTAATGCTTGTTATTTTTTTTAGCAATGATTTTAATGTATATGTTTTATTTTATTTGATGTATGTTCATGTTGGCATCAAATTGCTGCTTACAGTATATATGAATATGGTAAATAAATAAATAGATACCGAGGGCCCACTGCATCTTGTGTGAAGTTTTCCTCATAGCTGAAAGTCTACCAAGGTATCCACAACACTCAGCATTCAAAGTGCTTCACATATAGTGTGTTATTCATCCTTTAAGATCAGTGATACCTGGACTGGTGCTGGCCCCAACAACTTTCCAGAAAATGGAAAAAAAAAAAAAACACTACTGCACCCTATGAGCACACAAAAAAACCAAAAATTGCTAGTTCCTCACATCAGATAGCCAATTCATCTGATGTAAGGAATTGCTAGTTCCTAACATCAGATAGCCAAAGAAACACTTCTTTAAGATTTGTTAGTGTTGTCCAATAGTTAGTTTGAGGAGCAGAAACCAATGGGTCTGGGTTACCTAAACTGCCTACTAAATTTATGTTGTAGGTAAGATTAGAAGCAGAGACTTTCTGAAATGGTAATTTAGCCCTGTAGCTAGTTCATTGCAATAGCTCATTGTTGACCGTGTCTAAGATGCGACCGCTTCCTTCTGCAGATCTTGGTGCTTTTTAATGATTTCATTTCCCCCTCTTTTCTGAACAGTCTGTAGATCTCTTGTCACCCATTCATTAATTTATAGTTTTGACTTGGGAATTTTGTGTCATTCATGTATTTGATAATTTAAAAAAATAAAATAGATGTACATTTGTGTGATCCAGTTTAGTGTATAGTTAGTTGGTAATAATGTAACCACTAGAGCAGTGGTTCCAAGCCTTTTTTTTGAGCTGGCACCACTCTCCAACATTAGTATCAAAAGGGTTATGAATCAGTTTTTGGTCAACTTTAGATTTGGTTTGGGGTGCCGATTCAGAAAATTGCATTGGATAGACCACATCAGCTTGTTTCTGATACGGAACATATGCCATGGTGAGAGACAGGAAAGGAGTGGCAGGCAGCACAAAAGGAGCGGAAATTAAATAAATAAAGAGGAAGGAGGCTCGCGGACCAAATTTTCGTCCTCACAGCCCACTGGTGTTTCACGGCCCAACAGGTTTAGAACCACTGCACTAGAGACTAGTGCTTTAGTTAGCATGAACTATTTTCTTTATAGAATTTCAGAATAGATAACCTTATGAAGCATGTCCATACTAGTAACATTTTCTGCCCTAGCTCTGAGGTCGGTTATATGTAGTTTAAGTGTAGAAAGTTGTGGTCCTTCAGATGTTGTTGGATTTCAACTCTCATCAGCTCTCATGAATTAGGGAAGTTGCCAACCAGAAATACTGAAAGACTTGCACAGATATGTGTTCTGTCTCCCTGTATCACAGATACTACCTATTAAGTTATACTGACTTCAAAGAGGTTTTGAACTTTATTGTTTGTGATGTGAAGAAAGTTTTTTTAAATGAAGTATTACAACTGAAGTGTTTGAGGATCATAGTGTTGCTGTGCCTTTCAGTGGAGAAATAATGACTATGATAATGTTGATATTGTGTGTGAAAGGCCTTAACTGCTCACAAATGTTGTTCATTCCTTTTGGAGTGACCCTTATATATAAACAATAATCATTATTCTTCATTCTGGCTTACCTATATCCAGTAAGATGTGATTGTAGGCTCATATATTACCTTGATGGAACTTAAGAACTCACATGATCTAATAAACTCTAGCTACTGTTCAGGGTGATTTCAAATTGCTACAGACTAATTTTTGTTCTGCGAGAGATGTAAGAAGTAGAGAGAGCACATAGTTACTGTAGTTACGATGCTTTTATAAAAGTTTATGGAGTTTTGGGGAGAATTTGAGTGAGATCAGTAACTTGTGTCTTCTTTTCTTTCAGACGGGTCAGCAGTGCCAATCAGCCTGCCCCAGGGTAGCAATGGAAGAGATGAGGTAGCCACCAACAAGTGTGTTAGAATCCAGCTTCAAATGGATGCAAAATATAAAGACGATGTATTTAGAAAGTATGTACAGTCTCATGAATCTAAACTGGATACCTCTGACAAGAAGCAGCGCCCAGTTAGTGAGGAATATCTACAAGTGGCAGCTTCAGCCTTACTCTGCTTTCCCAAGATTGATCCCTTTTATAGATTCCGGCTGATTAAATTTTATGAGATTGCTGAAAATTCACTTAGGTCCTCGAAATCTTCAAGTTTGCGTTCTCTCAAGAATGCATTCAGTGTGATGGAATCCATAGGAGTTAATCTTTTTCTCTACCCATGGAAGAAGGAATTTAAAAATATCAAGGTAGGAATGTACAAATATCTCAGCCTTTTTGTAATCTAACTTGTGCTTTTCTTAGGGTATGTGTATTATCTATAGCAGAGCCTTCGAAATTGTGTGTTGTGACACGTTAAGTGTGTCGGCATAACAGTGTGGGTGTGTTGCACAAACATAACAAGAAGCCTCTGAGTCTAAGTGAAACAAGCAATAAATCATATATTTCACTAAAAATAAATAAAAAGGTTTCATGAGATATGTTATGTCCCTATACATTCCATCATTACAGTTTATGTATGTGTCCATATCTCCTATTAGGGGTTTGTTTAACTTCTGACTTGCTAATAAAACTGAATTACTGTGTTGCAAAGTGAGTCATGTCCAAAAAGTGTGTCCTTAACATGGAATGTTTGGAAAGCTCTGATCTTAGGCTACTGTGGCTTGAAAGGCACCAGGTTGGAAAGCACTGACATAGACTGTCGTTGGTCAATCTGATTTTAAATTTTATTTTTGAAAAATCATTTTTTCCTGTACTCATTCACCAGTTTAGAATCCATAATTTTATTTTTTCTTTAGGAGGTTTAAATTCAATATTTCTCTTGACATATAACACTTTCTTGCTAGTCTATTTTCTTTGTTAATTTCTCTGATTAAGCTGTCCTCATCCTGTTTATCCAATTCCACATTTATAAAGTCTCTATAACTTTCCAGAAATAGTACTGTAGAATCCTGGAAAACATTAAAGCTTATAAAATATTTGAAACCCAAAACGACTCTGCACACTCCTGCATCAACAAAAATAATTGATCCAATGAAAGATATACTGCCTCAAAACCAAGCTTAAAAGTGAAAGTTGGCTTTTGGCGATTATTTTAAATTGCTCAGTGACCTTGAAGTAAAACTGATTCCTCTATTCTGTGTCTGTTTCTTATGCCAGCATTTCACTGGTTATAGATTCTTGTAATATGGCAGGCAAAGTGAGATTTCTTCAGTTTAAGAAGGATTTTTTTACTCTGATCTAAAGTGGGTTTTTTAGAACAATGTTTTATCCTCACAGGAACCCTATATATTTGATTAAGAAATAAGGCAACATCACACAAAGCTCATCATAGCCAAATTACAATGTCTTACATTTTGGTCATTGTAATCATAATTTTCATGTTCAGTTTTGTCAACCTCCCTTCTAGATTTGTGTTAATAGTTCCCTCTCATTTGGCTAAAATTGTTCCACATTAAGAATTTTTGGGTTTTAATACACTATTCTGTTTATTCTTCAGTACTGAAGATGAAAATAAAAGCCCATAATTATCAGACTCAAAGCAAGAAGGAATAAATAAGATTGCAAGTGACTGTTCAGTGTTAGTCTCTTATTCCTTCAGTAGAATTAATTCATCAAATGTTCGTTAGTGAAATGTAATGCTATTTCAAGACTGCACAAGCAGACAGAAACCTGGTAAATGCTGACACTTGCATGGAAATATTAATGACATAATATACATGGCATTATTAGGATATATTATTCAATACTAGCAGCACTTCTGTCAGGAAGCTTATATGTTTTAAATCCTGTTGTAAATATTATACTTTTGTTGAGTGGGTGTGATAGTAGAAATAATTACATTTCAGTAGTTACTAAAAGATTTCTAGAGAGGTGTTAACAATTGCTAGATTCTCTAGCAGGACTTGAGAAAGTTGACTCTATAGTAGCACTCTAGAACTGAGTGAATCCTAGAGAGAACATTTTCATCAAATCCGTAAATTTGGCAGGTTGACCGTATAGATGTGAAAGAGTTCTGTGTACCTGATAATTTGCATTCCTACAGTATTGATTCTGATGTTCAAGAATATGGACCAAGCACATTGCAGGGACTCCTGATCCCTAAGTCTGGCTGCTGCTTTCCCAAGTCTAAGCTAATATTTACACCCTGCCCTAGATCTATAGAGTTTCAGAACATCTCACAACCTCTGAGATGCCTGCCATAGATGTGGGCGATAACATCAGGAAAGAATGCTTCTGGAACATGGCCATACAGCCTGGAAAACTCACAGTAACCTAGTGATTCTGGCCATGAAAGCCTTCAACCACACATTTGAGCCAAATTGTTTTAAGAATATTGGTTTCAATTTTAAAATAGATTCCAGTCTTTTAAACAAATCAAAACTAGAAAATATACAGTCTGATATGCTAACAGTCATATATGCTGAAAATAGATCTTGTTACAGTTGAACTATGCTTCTTTAGAGTTATGTGGCTTCAGCAAGAGATTATTTTGCTGTTATCATATCATTCATCAATGGCGAAGGCCTCCAAGTAGGTTGCATACCTGTTTCTTATGTGAAGTTTGCTGATGTAGAAACCAGACCAGAGAACACTTGGTGATCAAATTCATGATGTTGATGTAATGAACATCAACTTGGCTTAGTAGGTACAAGTGATCTATCTATAGAATTTCTTTGGTTTTGGGCCAAAAAGCCTTTTTATTCAAAGTGATTGCCCCCTCTTGTGGTTAAAGCATGTATAGCTATTTCAGAATTACATCTAAATGATGCTTGTGTTTTTCTTTCTTTTCTCTGTCTTCAGACTTACACTGGACCTTTTGTTTATTATGTGAAATCTACATTGTCTGATGAGGATATAAGACATATACTGAACTCAATGGGATATGTCCAAGAGCTTGGAACTATGTATAAGCTCAAAGAGTTGGTGGATACCCTTCAGGTCAAGATGGTGTCATTTGAACTCTACTTGGCCAAAATTGAGTGTGAACAACTGATTGAAATTCATTTGCAAGTGAAAGATAAAGGTTATTCAGAACTTGACATTGTGAAGGAGAGGAAAAATAGCAACGATGATGTCCGGGGCTGCTCAGACGCCTTGAAACGGCGCGCAGAGTGCAAAGAGAATCTAAATACTTCCATGTCAAGAATGGTACTTCAAAAATCTGCCAGTGAAAGAGGCTCTAAAGATTACTTCAAACCCAAAGTTAGCAAACCTTCTAAATCAGTGGACACTTATGAGAGTTATTTGGAAAGCAAGAAGCCACCTTTAATGACATCACTGAGTCTCAGAAAAGAACCCATCTTAGTTGATACTGAAGATGACATTAAAGATGAAATCATTCGTCCATCACCATCTCTCCTTGCCATGTCAAGCTCTCCACATGGATGTCCTGATGAGTATTTGCAGGTTCCATCTCATGCCAATGGCATATTAAGAACGGGTATACCATATGGTACTTACTATTCCCCTCAAGATGATTTAGATTTATATACTGACCCTGATTCCAGAAGTATGTTTAAGAGGCAGGAATCCACTAAACATGATGTATGGCTGCTAAGAAACGATGCCAATCCTACTTACCATAAACGTACGCATCTAGCCAAAGAGACGACTCCCCTTAAGTGCCAAAACTGTGGATTATCTTGTGGCGCCTCCATTTGCCAAAAGTGTGACAACTTGTTCATCTGCAGGCAGGAGTATCCAGCAATGAAACAGAGCAGCTACTCAATGAAATCTCTTTCAAGTGAAGGCATGTCTTCTGGACCTGCTGTAAGGGAAAAGCCCCAGTATATGTTACAGACTCAGGAGCGGGGCTCTCAGTTCAGTTCAAAATCCAAGCCTTCGGGTTCTTCACGTTGTGGCTTTTGCAACCGATCCGGAGCTACAAACACATGCACTTTTTGTTCAAAAGTTTCCTGTGACACTTGCCTCAGTGCTTACTATTATGACCCCTGCTGTCGGAAAAGTGAGCTTCACAGGTTCTTGCCAAACAATCAGTTAAACTATAAATCAAACCAGCTGTCACATCTAGTGTATAGGTAGATTTTTAATTGGGGGGGGGGGGGATAGTGTATTTTGGGACGAAAGGGCTAAAAATACAAACATACTAATGTTGTTGGTAAGAATTATCATCCTACTGACCTCTTAGGAGAAAGAAAAACTCTAGACTCATGCCCTAGTATTAGATAAATACATCTTAACATGTGTCCCCGTCCTTAATGATGTGATTTCACAAATGTTGTCTATACAATCGTTGCTGCTGCTGTTACTCTTTTAGGTGATTCTTCGCTGCTTTTCTGTTTAGTTGGGGGAAAGATGCACCTTTTTCCTTTTTTAAAGAAGCAAGCAGATGTTGCAGTCCCTCTAAAAAAGAACCACCACCACCACCACATGTCTTGTTTCATTGCTTTCTCTGCCTCATTCACATTCAAATACCAGAGAAGTAACTTCAAAGACAACCATAGAACTACGAATGCTGTTTTCAGTCTATTTTTAAATCAGCTGTTTTATTTGCTTGCACAAAAGATTAATGAAGTCATTTTTTTTGCCAAAATATGATTTTTTTTTGTTTCAAAGGAAGAGATTAGATGAGCTCCAAAAGGCAAATAACACATTTGTTTTGTCTTTTTTTTTTTCTTCTCTTGCCCTCACCAATTTCCAGGATTTCTCTCAGCATATAAAATCAAATTCTGGATGGAGTGTTTATTTTACCAGTGTTGTCAACACACTCGACCTGTTTTGGGTTCTTTAAAAAAATGTTCTGGTATATTTTAAAGAGGTAAAACTGTATGTGTTACATTATGTCCCATAGGTAATATTAATTTGCCTTCTGTTGCACATGTATCATATCCAGTTCTTTCTACTGTAAATAGGTGATTTGGAAGCAGTTTATTTTTTAATAAATATATTCAGTATGTTGTGTGTTTTTTCAAAAATAAGATCCTGCAGTTGAAGTTTCTGGATTATTTCTTCAGGTAACATATTTTTCCTTGTACTGTATTTCATCCACAATGTATTACTGTTGTTGTAGACAGGTTTTTGGTCAAAATCTTTTTGTCTCTTCACTCCTTTCTCCTGGATCAAAATTCTGCCTCCTGAATCATTGATGAGTGAGACCTGTAGTTTCAACCTTTTCTTTTCAAACACAAGTGGAGTTTTTCCCCCCAGTGGTAATGAATTTGGCTCCTAAAAATGATTTGGTCCTGCACATACACAGTCTCCCTTTCAATTGTACACAGCCCCTAAATTGTAGTGTTCAGTGGTGACACTTTAAAATAGTTTTGCACCATTCCAGGTCAAGTAACATTTCTCATTTGTAAAGGTGACTCTAAATGCAGAATTTGATTTTTGGCCTAAAGGCCATCACTGTCCATCCATTATCTATCCTTAATCTTGAATTATTATGCCATCGCATTGGATTCTGATCTTTGTGGCAAACCACTATCACTCCTAAAACTGTACATTTTGAAAGCATGGTTGTAGACTCTAGGATTTGTAAGAGTTGTAGTCCTCTCACCCTTTACATGTCAAACGTATATAAATGGCTAGTGATTACATTTTGAGTGCAAGTGCAGAGCATGAGCCGAAACAAAGGGATTTAACAAATAATTGTAAATGTGCTGAAATTCTAATGTTAGAAATGAACATTCAATGTACAGTCTCAAATAATTTTGTGGAGAGTTGTCAACAGTAAAGCAGTATCAAGAAAAGGATACATGATCAAGAAAAGTAGGAAGGAGATGTTGTTGTAATGGCATACTGCATCAGATTTTATTTTATTTTATTTTTGTGGGCAAGTATTAACTTGCTAACCAGGAAGGTTAGAGAGAAATCATTGCTTAACTGATTGATTACAGTTTTTCAAAATCTTTGATGGGTTTAAAAAATAAGTATATATTAATATACTTGTAGATACAATGTATATATAATGCCAAAATTTAAAATAATTTTCCTATTTCCAAGAGTGTCAGCCTGTAGAGTTCTTTTGCTGTGTTCTGTTTCTGTTCGATCTCTTAAAGCATCATGCCTGTCTTTATTTGGCTGCTATACTGTATAGCTTCTAGTTTTTTCCTCCTGTTGGGGTTCCATATTGCTACTCACATGACACTAAATGAACAAAAACTGTGATGCCACGTAATTTATACGGTGAACCTAGCAGGGACTAATTATATTGCTTAAAAAAAAAAAGAGTCCTGTGTACATATTTGTCATGGAATACCTGTAGTACAGAACAGTATTAAATTGCAAGTGATACCATGCTAAATATATTTTTATGTGTACCTTACTGTATGAGGTTGCTGTGATCAAGACAGTAAAATATGTTAATTTAAAATGCAGTTGCTTGGCATCTGATTTGTTTAACATTTGAATGGCTGTACTAGAACCCTTTTAAAAAGCACTTCATTTTCTTAAGAGCTTTTTGGAAGAAGTGGTTTACATTGAGTTCGTTTGTGTTGAGACTATTCACAATGGATGACCTATATTCTTCTTAAACTTTGTTATAGATAGAATTGGAAGAGACCATAAGGGCCATCCAGTCCAACCCCCTTCCACTCAATCAAAGCACTCCTGACAGATGGCCATCCAGCCTCTGCTGAAAAACCTTCAGAAAATGAGGCTCCGCTGAGGCAGTATATTTCACTAACGAACAGCTCTTACCATCAGGAAGTTTTTCCTAATGATCTTTTTTCCTACAATTTGAATCCATTGTTCTATGTCGTAATCTCCAGAGCAGCAGAAAACAAGTTTGCCCCCTCCTCAATATGGCATGATTGCACATTATTAAGCATGGCTATTATGTCCCCTCTCAGTCTGCCTTTCTCCAAACTAAGCATACCCAGCTCCCTAAGCTGTTCTTCACAGGACATGGTTTCCAGACCTTTGATTATTTTAGTTGCCTTCCTCTGGACAGGTTCCAGTTTATCAGTGTCTGAATTGTGATGCCCAGAACTGGACACAGTATTCCAGGTGAGATCTGACCAAAACATAATAGAGTTACCGATTGATGCAGCATAGAATTGCTTGCCTTTTTAACTGCCACATCTCACTGTTACGTTCACCTTGTGTGCTGCTAAGACTCCTAGATCCCTTTCACATATACTGTTTTCACTACAGTATTTTACTTTTGTCTAAGCTGCCTCTTCCTCATATTGTATTAATTGCATGCAGAACACTTTTGCACATGGAGCTCTGTTTGCAGTGATTGGAGGAAGCTGAGGACAAAGGAGGAAAGTGGGAAAAGAAACGGACATTGTAAAGCTCTTGCAACAGGATTTATGAGGATTGTCTTAATAAATCAGGACAGTTAGAGGGTATGTTGATTCTATCTGTAAAAAACAACAACCTGATTTTCACATTCTGATAGGCTCTCCGTTTGCTTGTATTAGTGCAAAAATGGACCTAGAAGTTACAATATGATGTGGATGTGATTCTGTTTATGAACAATGAAATATGAGCAGTTTGTGCAAGAGCTCTGGTGTCAGGGTGCCATCAATTATTAATAAAACCAGGATGCTAATTATTTCAAGGTGAAAGGGCATGGTGTGGACACAGTCTGCTCATTGTGTTTCCCTAATACCACCCTCTCTATTTCCTTCCAGCCAGATTCAGAAAAGAGGAAGGGCTCTCATTCTGAAATCAGTCCCACTCCATTTTATACCTTCATTGGTGTCAACCCATGCTAAGAAATAAAAATCTCCTGCTGTCCAATATCGTTTTGTCACTCCATGCCATAAGCGGTAGGTTCATGTATGCTCTGCCTTGCAAAGATGAACTTTTCTTTAACCAAAATTGCAAGATTCACAAGCAGTAGCCTAGGCAAAAGATGTAGGCTTGATGCTTCTTGGATTACAAAGGAAAAACAAAAACATGGGGATTAAAGAGCATCATATTTTCTTCCCAATTTTCCCCTTCTCAACATTTTTGAAGCCTTCCAAGACAAAAAATTGGAATGTCTTGAAAAACAAAATGACTTTCACCATTCTGTGACAAGTTAGGCTTTCTCCACATATAGAAACAAAATTTACTGGACAGTTTTATCAGATCTCAGGCTCCTTACCCCCAGTGGGAGGAATCTTATGATGGGAACACTGCCTTGAAACTGGTTTTTGTGCACACATTATCTTTTTTTCTTAGATTTGTTCTTTGAAAAGAAATTTTTGAATAACTGGGTGGTATGACCAAAATCCACTAATGGTAGGGCCCAGCTATTTTAACTTCAGCAGTCAGTTTTTGAATAGGAGGGAGAACTGGGAGTGAGATATCTTTGCGAATCATGGTATCCAGCTCTACCTTCCTGGTCTATGCAGGATATTTTACCATATAGGTTTCATCTTAATGTGTATTGTTTCTGTATAGAACTTCATCTGGAGAAGTGTCTGATGTGTTTGAAAAGAAATACTCCTTTATTTATCAAAATCAGTTTTTCACATGACTCGCACATCAAGCTGCTGCCACCAAGCATTCCTATCACTGTTTCCTCCCCAAAGGCATCAATATTGTATCATTAGCTCACTTAAATCTTTTCATTCTGTTTGCTCGCAGATAAACCTCAATTAAGCATTGCTCTTATGAGCAATTCTAAACAGGGTTCTTTGCCAGCAGCACGTGCCGGCCAAAAATCCTAATAAGTAGACTGTTAATAACAGTATGTCCTTTTAGCAGCCTCTGAAATACACAGAGCCAATTAAAATGACTCAGTCCTCTTATGCTGCTCATGTTTGCAAAATTGTCTGATGCTTGGGCAATCTGCCTCATTTTTAATAATAAATAATCTTTAGCTTTTGAGATGTTATTGTACAGGACACATTAGTGTGCTCATGAGGGCAGCAGTGAAGGACTTAGGCAAGGCCCTCAAGTGTAAAAGTCAATTATATCTTTTAAATATTATAGTCAGGATTGTTCAGGCCATCATATTACCCAGTTCTGTGAGTAGTTGTGAAAACTGGTCAGTGACTCAAGCTGGCAGAAAGAAATCAACATTTGAAATGAAATGCTGGGGAAGAGTTCTATCAGTACTTTCACCTACTAAAAACAAATGAGTAGAAATATCTAGGAGCCCCTGGTGGTGGAGTGGGTTAAATTGCTGAGCTGCTGAACTTGCTGACTGAAAGGTCAGCGGTTTGAATATGGGGAGCAGAGTGAGCTCTCAGTGCCAGGTCCAGCTTCTGCCAACCTAGCAGTTTGAAAACATGCAAATGTGAGTAGATCAATAGGTACTATTTCTGCAGGAAGATAACAGCGCTCCATGCAGTCATGCCATGTCATGCCTAGGGAGTGTCTACGGACAATGCCAGCTCTTTGGCTTAGAAATGGAGATGAGCACCACCTCCCAGAGTCAGACATGACTAGACTTAACGTCAAGGGAAAACCTTTACCTTTAGAAATATCTAAGATAACTAAATTTCATCTGTCATACTCTGAACATAATAATAATAATAATCATCATCATCATCATCATTATCATCATCATCATCATCTTTATTTATACCCCGCCACCATCTCTCCCAATGGGGACTCGGAGCGGCTTACATGGGGCCAAGCCTGAACAACAAATTACAATACAAAAAATACAAAATTACAATAAAATAAACAATATAACATTAAAGTATAGAACATCAAAGCATATAAACAATATACAAAGAACATAAGAACCAAACATAAGGACAAAGAGTGGGCTGCATGTACATAAAATGATTTAAAAACATGTCAAGAGAAGACAATACTCATTAGAAACCCCAAAGATACCAGATCTTTTTGACCTTGGAAGCTAATGAGAAAAAGTCCTGGTTAGTTCTTTAATGGCAGACCACCATGAATATCAGGTGCTGTAGGAGACTGCTCAAACTTCCGTACAGTGGACCTTATTTCTCATGCCAGTAAGGTAATGCTCAAGATCCTGCAAGGAAGACTCCAGCAATACATGGAGCGAGAGTTGCCAGATGTTCAAGCTGGGTTTAGAAAAGGCAGAGGAACGAGAGACCAGATTGCCAATATCCGCTGGATAATGGAGAAAGGCAGGGAGTTTCAGAAAAACATCTACTTCTGCTTCATTGACTATTCTAAAGCCTTGACTGTGTGGATCATAATAAATTGTGGCAAGTTCTTGGTGGGATGGGCATACCAAGCCACCTTGTCTCTCTCCTGAGGAATCTGTACAAGGACCAAGTACCAACAGTAAGAACTGACCACGGAACAACAGACTGGTTCAAGATTGGGAAAGGCGTACGGCAAGGCTGCATACTCTCACCCAACCTTTTTAACTTGTATGCAGAACACATCATGCGATGTGCGGGGCTTGAGGAATGCAAAGCTGGGGTGAAAATTGCTGAAAGAAACATCAACAACCCCAGATATGCAGATGACACTACTCTGATGGCCGAAAGCGAGGAGGAGCTGAGGAGCCTTCTAATCAAGGTGAAAGAAGAAAGCGCAAAAGCCGGGTTGCAGCTAAACGTCAAAAAAAACCCAGATTATGGCAACAAGAATGATTGACAACTGGAAAATAGAGGGAGAAACCGTGGAGGCCGTGACAGACTTTGTATTTCTAGGTGCAAAGATTACTGCAGATGCAGACTGTGGCCAGGAAATCAGAAGACGCTTACTTCTTGGGAGGAGAGCAATGTCCAATCTCGATAAAATAGTAAAGAGTAGAGACATCACACTCGCAACAAAGATCTGCATAGTCAAAGCCATGGTATTCCCTGTAGTAACCTACGGATGTGAGAGCTGGACCGTTAGGGAAGGCTGAGCGAAGGAAGATAGATGCTTTTGAGCTGTGGTGTTGGAGGAAAGTTCTGAGAGTGCCTTGGACTGCGAGAAGATCCAACCAGTCCATCCTCCAGGAAATAAAGCCCGACTGCTCACTGGAGGGAAGGATACTAGAGACAAAGTTGAAGTACTTTGGCCACATCAGATGAAGGGAGAAGGCAGGATCATCAAGTTTGCAGACGACACCAAATTGGGAGGGATAGCCAATACTCCAGAGGACAGGAGCAGGATTCAAAATGATCTTGACAGATTAGAGAGATGGGCCAAAACTAACAAAATGAAGTTCAACAGTGACAAATGCAAGATACTCCACTTTGGCAGGAAAAACGAAATGCAAAGATACAGAATGGGGATGCCTGGCTCGAGAGCAGTACGTGTGAAAAAGATCTTGGAGTCCTCGTGGACAACAAGTTAAACATGAGCCAACAATGTGATGTGGTGGCAAAAAAAGCCAATGGGATTTTGGCCTGCATCAATAGGAGCAGTGTCTAGATCTAGGGAAGTAATGCTACCCCTCTATTCTGTTTTGGTTAGACCACATCTGGAATATTGTGTCCAGTTCTG